CCATTCTCATCACAGAAGTTTGGTTTTATGATTAAATGGGGTTCCATGTATTTCAATTTGTGCCTTCTTTCTCTTGTTCTTTCACCGTGCACCACCAAGAAGTCTGTCTCCATCTTCTTTGCACCATTCCTTCAGATACACACAGATAAGTTCCCACCAGAGCCTCCTCCAGGCTGAACAGTTCCAGCTCTCTCAGCCTTTCCTCATGGTAAAAATGCTTCATTCCCTTAGTCCCTTAGTGGCCCTTCTCTAGACTCCAGTATGTCTCTCTTGTACTGGGGACACCATGACTGGACCCAGCGCTGCAGCTGTGGCCTCACTGGTGCTGCACAGAAAGAAAGGATCACTTTTGTCTATCTCCTGGCAGTGCTTTTCCTAATGCAGCCCAAGAGGCTGTTGGCCACCTCTGCAGCAAGTGGCACATTGCTGGTTCAACTTATTTCAGCTGGCATCCCCAGGTCCTTTTCTGTCAAGCTCCTTTCCAGCCAGCTGGTCCCCAGCATGTACTGGTGCATGGGGTTATTCCTCTCGAGGTGCAGAACCTCACATTTCCCTTTGTTGTGCTTATTGATATCCCCCTTGGCCCAGTTCTCCAGCCTGTTTGGGTCCCTCTGAACAGCAGCACAACCATCTGATGTACCAGTCACTCCAGCCAGTTTTACATCATCTGTAAACTTGCTGAGGGTGCACCCTAAGGATGAGTGGTCCCCAGCTGCATTTTGTGTGGCCAATCTCAACCCTCTGAGCTCTGCAGTTCTGCCAAATTTAAGTTCAGCTCCATATCCATCTTAATAGCCCATGCTTCATCAGTTTGTCTGTCAGGGTGTAATGGGAGACAATCAAAAGCCTTACCTAAGATAAACAGCGTACACTGCTCTCCCTTTACCCACCAACTAATCATCCCATCATACACCCAGAACTCTTTCCTGTGACAGATTTCCCTGCTGCATATAATGGAGATCTTCATAAACTTGCTTTATTAAGACTTATTAGGCCACTTGATATAGGAGTTGCTTCTAACTGCTATAAAATGAACAGCTCCACCTGCCTTTGTAATGATCTACAAGTGATACAAAACATTGAGCTTATTTAACAGCACATACCAGATGGTTTATACAAGGTTGAATATAACAGGAAGATTTTTGTCCAGATTGGGGGCGGGGCTGTCATTTTATTTTGAAAAAGAGGAAAGAAATACAGAAAAATGGGGGTTACATTGTCTCTTGTGTTGCTCAAATTGCACTTGAGGCTGCTTTTACAGGTCAGCAGCTAGAAGCAGCAAATGTGGTCAATGAACACTCGGCAGGCAAAGTGCTTAACACTGTTAACTAATTCTGAATTGCACTGAAATATAGGCTTGGTATGCTTGGACATTCAGGTAAGTTTCATCTCTAGACAGATTTAAGTTAGCCAGACCAAAATCCGAGACTGGATACCAGCAAAAAATCCCTTCCATGATTTTCAAATCAAAAAAATTTTTTTTAAAACAGCTATTTGAATGAATATGACATAATTGAATACTTTTTCATTGGATATTTTTCATTAGTGAGGCAGAAATGTTCAGAACACACTGCTTTTACCTTAGCAATCGCTTCAGCAAATACTAGCTTACCTAGACCAAGTCAATTTATAGGTTTTGATGATATTTCCATCCTAAACCACTGTTACTGCAAACAAGATTTGATTATGTACCTGCATTTAAAAGAGGTGCTGAGAGAGTTCCTTCAATAAAAAGCACAGGATGGAAAGGATTTAAGTGAGAAAATTATAACAATTGATACATAGCAGAGAGATCACAAAAGAAATATTTGCTATAATTGCCAAAACTCAGAAAATGAATAAAATTTAACTCTTCAATTTGATGACCTAGAAAATAGAGAGGAGAAATAATGTGCATATGAAAAGGATTAAAGAAGAAGCCAAGAAAGGAGGCTTAGTGGGTTTAACTGGGTGGATTTAAAAATTGTTTAAAGAATGATAATGGTAAAAAGAAATTCAAACTGGCTTTACCAGGAAACAGATCTACACAATTTTCTGTGAAACTTCCCTTGTATTATTTCAATAAAAGAAAGGTTCAGAAGAAAGTAACAGAAAATGAGCTGTGAATGATCTGAAAATAGCATACATACATGCACACACACATTCTTTTGGCTTTTAAAGAAGAATATACAGAGAAAAGCGGGTACCATAATAACAAGGTTTTCATTACTTCTGAGGTATTGAACTTGGCTGCCAAAGAAAGAGGACTAGATGCCTAATAATTAGAGATAAAGTAGAAGCTAGCAGAGATAATGGCATGTGTTATGTAAACCAGGTAGCGTTACACACGGAGATCTTTTTACTGCTATCATAATGCCTGTCAGAATCAAAAAAGGAACTGGAAGAGGGTATTTTTCTAGAAGAGAGTGGCATAACAAAGCTTATCATAAAAATCAGAAAGACAAATTAAATTTAAAATATCCACAAGGTTCTTATGTAGCAAACATGAAAAAGTAAAAGTTATGTTAGCAAGCAATTAGTAATAGGAACTTCAAGCTAGTAAGAGATTTATAGATAATTACATATAAATATATATAGAGGATGAATTTATTCAGGGAGTGCTTTCAGATATATCTGAAGTATATAATAAAGGAACAAAGGAAGAAGTTTGGTCACATAGAGCTGTATTTGTTGTGTTTTTCTATTGTTCACAGAGGTAACAACTACCCTCCTACAGCAGTTTATAGATAAATTTCAAAATTCATTCAGAGATAGCGAACAAAGTCAGTCACAAGCAACCCACTTGCCACAAAAGGCCTGTCTTTGTTGTTATTACATGTCTGGAGATTTTCTGATACAGGCTGTGATCACATTCCTCATTGCAATAGCAGGAGGCACGCGAGGGGGCTGTTCAGGGAGCGTCTGGTTCACCTGCCCAACGGGACCCAAACCTGGAGGTGGATGCATTTTTGGTGAGACCTTGTCAGGAGGCAGCCTGGGGAAGTCACTGCAAGTGACCCCTTTGTGCCACTCCAACAAAGCCATCTGGCCTGTGGGACCTATGTGTGTGAAGCTCTGCTACAGCCAATGTGAAAATGTCCATCTTTTGGCCTTCCAGAGAGCAGGAGGCAAGCGGGAGATGTGACAGCACTTCTGCCCTGCCAGGGAACCACTAATGTGAGCAAACCAACCTTCACTGCCTGATCAGAGAGACCCAGGCACAGGAGAGGAGTTTGTGGCTGCTGCTACACCATGTCTGAGACCCTGGTTTTTTACTTTGGAAAACTTTCAATGTCTCCATTTTGGACCTGCAAATCTGAGCTCAGAGAGAAGGTATTACAATGATGCTGACACCCAAAGAGTCAGAAATGGCCAGCAATTCACCCAGAGAGTTACAGAGAATGAGAAGGGGGTTGGGAAACAGAATCTTGCCTCATCAGTGAAACAGGCATCATAGCTTTAAAGGAGTGACCCTGAACAGAGGATCACCGGGGCTTTTATCCAACAGTCTGGGGTTATCCTGTGAGTGTTCAGCTCCTGCTGTGTCACCTGTCTGTCTATTGTCACTTGCTGTGTCTCTTGTCACCTGTCTGGCCACAGGTCCCCTGCCCTTTATAATGCAAGGAATCACTACCAGCTCACAGCCTCTTGATTCCAGCCACCGTGGAGACTCAACCACCACTGGCCACCAACTCAAGAATCCCACCAACTCAAAAGAGGAGAAAGATTGAGCATGAGGACTAATTAGCATAAGAAGCAAGAAAATCGTTAAACCAATAAAGGTTAAATACCAACAGGAGAATTTTCCAGTGAACTGTGATTTGTTTGCTAAAATGTATATTTAGTGTAATTGAAATGGACTGCCCATGGGGGTGGTGGAGTCACTGACCCTTGGAGGAGTTTAAGGAAAGACAGGACATGACACTTAGTGCCATGGTCTAGTTGGCATGGTGATGTTCAGTCATAGGTTGGACTCGATGATCTCAGAAGTCTTTTCCAAGTCAACCAATTCTGTGATTCTGTAAATTTTTGGGAATCTGAGTTGATTTGTGTAACACTTCCACCTTGCACCCTGCACAGAACAAAAAACACCTCCTGTCTAAACCGGGCCCCGTGTCTGTGTTTAGTGTCCCTAAATTGTCAACAACAGCAGGTCACCCCAGTAACTCCTGCCAGCCGTGCCCTGGCTTGTGCCAGCCGCCACCACGCTGTCCATGAACGCGGGCCAGCACTGGCCACGGGGGACAGCTCTCCACCAGGAATGCAGAGTGCTGCGGGACAGCGCCGCGGCAGGAGCCCGCATGGGCCCTGCCCCCGGGATCTGGGCACGCCATCCCCGGGATCTGGGCACGCCATCCCCGGGATCTGGGCACGCCATCCCCGGGATCTGGGCACGCCATCCCGGGATCTGGGCACGCCATCCCCGGGATCTGGGCACGCCATCCCCGGGATCTAGGCTCGCCATCCCGGCCCGGCAGCGGCCGCGCCGCGCACGCGCCCGCAGGTGCTGGCGCGTGCGCCCCGGGGTGCCCGGGCGGCCCCGCGGGCGCGGCGGCGGCGCGGGGGGCGCGGCCCCGCTCGGGCTCGGGCCCGGCGGCGGCGCGGCGCGGACGGTTGCTATGGGAACGGCGGGCGGCCGAGCGAGGCTGGGGCCCTGCGGAGGCGCTGGCGGGTCCCGACCGAGTCCCCCGGGCAGCGCCCGGTGCCCCCGCCGGCCGTAGCGCTCGTCCCTGGGGGTGCCGCCTGGCCGGGCGGGGGCGAAGGGCCGGACTGTGCGGTAAATCGGGCGGGAGGCTTTGGAAAGCGGCCGGAGACTGATAATCCTTGTGGCGCTTCCCGGCAGCTTTCCCGTGCTCGGGAGGGAGGCGCGATTGCCGGGTGTGGGTTGGGACAGCGTTTACTCCACAGGTGCTGCTTGTTTGAGGGGTTCCTCTGGGACGTGTTGACCCACGGCTGCGCTGGAAACCTCACTCCGCTGAGAACTCGGCTCTCGTAACTTCATTCTATTTTCTCTTTGATAGCGATTTCTCTGCGTCAAAATTTCACCGGGGTGAAAGTGCATCAATTGTGATTGGTAAGTTTCTGTGAATCAGAACTATGTCTAATAATAGCTGTTGTTTACATCTGAAAGGAGGATGTAGTGAGGTGGGGGCCCAGCTCCTCTACCGTGCCTGCAGTGAAAGGACAGGAGGAAATGGCCTTAAGCTGGGACGGGGAGATGCAGATTAGATATTAGAAAAAGAAAATTCACTGTAATGATGGCCATGCACTGGAATAGGTTGGCCAGGAAGGTGATGGAGTCACCAGCCTTGGGTGTGTTTAGGAGGCGTCTGGATTGGGCAGTGATTGATGTGGTTTAGGGGTTACAGGGGCAGTGCAGGGTTGGCTTTGGACTTGATGATCTTAAAGGTCTCTTCCAACCTCAGAGATTCTGGGATTCTTACTAAACCTGTATCTGTGTGCTAACTGTTCTAGAGATTTGCTAGGGCATACAGAACATGGCTTGGATGTCAGAGAGCAGAATGTTCATAGCCTGAATACAGGGCTTCTGCTCACTGTACTTAGTGATTGCAAATACACCCACTCTGCACCCTAACAATTAAATGACACTGGTCTTGAGATGGGAAAGAGGATGGCAGAGCCAATGTGGTGCCATATCTGATGTAGCCAGCCATGCTTCTCTCATCTTGATTGAACTGAGATAAGAGCTGTGAGAGTACAGCTGTCTCACTTCTGGACATTGCTGGGAGTAATGTGTGGATCCTGTACTGCTCTCTACTGCTTAAAAATCTTTCTATACAGCAAAGACCAGACTTCTGGAGTAAACAATTGGGGAATAAGGACAAGAGCCCAAGTATGGCTTTTCAGACACTGCTGTGAGACTCTTCTACCTCCCAGCAGAATCAGAGAGGAGCTCTTCACTTGTGCAAGTTAAAGGCTTCTTGGAAATGGTGACAGTAGTGAGGGACAAGATCTGTGTGTACCAGTTATGCTGTCCCCATTGATGCTGCAGTCTTCCCTCTGGGGAGCCAGGGAGCAAAATTACAGAATCACAGAATATGCTGAGTTGGAAGGGACTCTCAAGGGTCATGGAGTCCAGCTCCTGGCCCTGTACAGGACCATTGCCAACTGTATCAGACACGTAAGGCCTACAGAGAAGACCTTCCACTTAAGGTCAAAATTCTGGTTTCCAGTAGCTGGGGGAATAGGGAATGATAGCCTACCTTCCTTTTTCCAGTGAGAACTGGTTAATTTTTTTCTAAACAGACAGCTGCAGTGGAACTCCTTACTGTTTTTTTAACTACATTGTAATAGAGGGAAGAGTATTGAGTATAGAGAACAAAATTCAGTCACAGTGAAGACAAGTAATATATTAATTGTAGTTGGAAATATTAAAAACACTGTTAGTCTCAGGCTCCTGATCTGTTCCTGAGGTTTTTTTAATTATGCATCATTTAGTGAAAGATGTGGTGCAGTTCTCCTTGTCCAGTTTTATATTGGATGTGCAACAATGACAGACACTACCAGAATGTGCAGGCTCTCAAAGAAAGAAGAAGCAGCTGAAAAAGTTAGACTGCAGAACAGGAAGAATTGAACTAAGAAACTAAGGATATAAGAAATTTTTTTTTACTCCATAGTTTAGAAATAACCCAGATGATGGTGTCTGATCTACTGTCAGTTCATTGTCATAAACTGTGTAAGAGAATAGAAGTTACCAGATGGTCTGAGTCACAGTGCAGAAACATATTTTTGTTTTTAGGTAAGTCTGAAAGCAGAAGAGGAATTTTGCATGGTGTAAGACTCATGATGAGTTTGCTGTAAAATGACAAGGATGATACCTACAGAGAACTGCACCATGATAGTGATGGGTTGTGGGTCCAGGGGGTGATGGAGCAAGTCTGTCACTGCCCATTGCATTTCCCAGAAGCTACAGCAGGACAGAATGCTGATTGGAAGTTTGGGTTTATCACTTACATTAGTCTTGTCTTTCTTTGCCTGTGCTTGGGGTTGGGTTGGGGAGTCGTTTCTTTCAGAGGAAAAAAATGGATTGCCTGTTCTTCCTTGTCTCTGCTCATCAATTGCTGATAACTGTGCTTCAGTTACTGATAATGATGCCTCTGACATATTAGGAAGCTGCCCTTGGTAAGGTCGATAATATATATTGGGTTTTTCCTAAGTTGGTAAAACCTGTCTCTTCGCAGCATATTATTGAATTCCTGTTTTGGCTGTGGTGTTTCACAAGTAACCAAGTGTCAAGAAACAGATTTTCTATGGATTTGTAGAGGACCACATTTGGCCCGTGAAGCACAGTGACATATTTCAGTATCCTATAAACAAACTGATGGTAGATCCTCCATGTCAGATGCTTTCTGTTTTTGAGTATTATCCTACAGAAGTGAAGAAAAGAGAGGAAATGCATTATCAGTGTACGTTATTTCCCTCTATTTCAGCACTGTCTAGGATTTATTGTGGTAGCATAACCAGTGATGAATTAATAGTTTGTAATTTAAAACTAGCATAATACTTTGTGCCATTCACATATATTTTCCAGTGTTCTTCCTGTGCAGTACTTTGCAGAGGAATGCAAGCTTCAAAGACTGAAAACAGAAGAAAAGCAGAACCATTCTACTGGCTGTCAGTGGCAAAGCCTAGGACCAGTTCTGAGATTGTAAATGAAGCCAGAGATGCTCTACGAACAGTGAAAACTCAAAGACCATTCACACCTACAGATGAACAAAGGAAACTTTCTGGGTCTCAATCCTCACGATGTCCTCAAAATAGACACCCTGTACTTTTTAGGTACTGTGGCTTGAAGATGTTTTCAAATATCCTTTAGCAGCAAGAGATTTGATTCTCTAGTTATGCTTCTGGTGGTTATTTTCCCTGTGTTAATCTGTATTCCTAATCACATCCTTTGCCTTCTTCTAATGATCTTTACTGTTGGTGTTAATCTACATGTCCAGCAAGTTTCTCTGGCTTAGAGCTACCAGAGGCAGTCACTATACACTAGTTTTTATGTGTAGAATAGTATAAGAAAATAGTTTGTTACTTACCTTTTCTTGAGACAATTGAATGCTTTTAATTGAGATAGTCTTCAGCTTTTTTCCTAGAACATGTGAAAGCTTGCTTGTTTCCTATAACCTATGTGCTAGATCTTTTTTCAGAGCCTTCTGAGATCTTTTAAATGTGAAATTTTAGGTCCTGCAGTTTGAAATGCTCATTTTCAAACAGAGTTTTTACTACCTCAAAATTATTTCTAGGTGGAGTTTTGTTACCTTGATGTGCTGATGTGCTCTTGTCACTTTTCCTTTCTTCCCTTTCCCCGTATTCACTGGCAAAGGGAAGAAGCATGCACTTTAAAAAACCATCTGATCACACAACTCTGGGTCTGCTTTATTCTAACCATGTTTCATTTCTTCATTAGTCTTGATACTTCCAGTTCTGATTCATCTGAATCAAGACCGAATTCTGGTGTTCGTCTAAGTCCACTGACTCATGTAAGTACTCTGGAAATAACTCATGCAGTACTGATATAAAATATGTGTCTTGGTAGTGTTAGGAAAATAAATGGTTTAAAGACATTTGGGAAGAGTGGAGGCTTGTTGTAACATTAGTCTGAGACTTATAAAGTCAGTTTTATAAACTGGAAAATAATTTAAACTACTTAAATATTGCTGTATTGCTTTATGATTCAAAGTGACATTAACAAGAATCAGAAGGCTGATAACTGAGTCAGCTTTCTTTCAGTGTAAGTTTACTAAAATAGGTGAAGTTCATGAGCATGGACATGTGCCAACAGCATGCCCTGGCTGTTAAGAAAGTGGCTGATGGTATCTGGGGCTGCATTAGGAGAAGTGTTGGCAGCAGGTTGAGGGAAAGTGATCCTTCCCCTCTACTCAGCACCTGGAGTGCTGGTATGCAGTTCTGGGCTCCACAGTATGAGAAAGACATGGAGCTACTGGAGAGAATCTGATGAATGGCCCCAAAAGTGATGAAGGGACAGGGAGACATGAGAATGTTCAGCCTGGAGAAGACCAAGGGAGGACCTTATCCATGGATGTAAATACCTGAAAGGTGGGTGCAAAGAGGACAGGACCAGCCTCTTTGCAGTGACTGGACCAGAGGCAGAGGGCACAAACTGGGACACAGGAGGTTTCCTCTGAACCTCAGGAAACAGTTTTCCCACTGTGAGGTGATGACGCCTTGGCACAGGTTGCCCAGAGATCTTCAAAAGCTTCTTGGGCATGGTCCTGGGCAACTGAGGTTAGGTGGCTGTAGTTGAATACAGGGCTTGGACCTCCAGAGGTCCTTTCCAACCTCATCTATTTTGTGGTTCTGTGAACAGTAGCTTGAAAGTAACTAGGTTGCTTTCTATTTGGCTTACATTTCTATAAAATGTCATGATTGTAGTTTTATTTCAAAACAGATAGAGGTCCTTTAAGAACCACTTTTCTCCTCTGTGAAAGCTGTGAATTGTTTTCAATTTATAAGTGTATCTGCTCTTTCACAGTTTTTTTTATATTTGGTCTTTAAATATAAGATTAAGTCACGACTGTTTGTTTAGTACCAAAGATAACAGAGCATGCTATAGCAATTAAATGTACTTGCTGTATACATTTTTCCAGACAGGAACCTTTAGGAAATTCTTTAGGAAATAAGGGGAAATATCTAAGAAATTTTATACTTTAGTAATTTGGATTAGGGAATGTATTTACATGAATCAAGTTTAAAAAATTCTGGGCATACTTCTATTTAGATTATGTATATCTACATTTGGATTTAAGAACTGGTGTTAAATTTTCATGTATTTTGTGAGAGTGGAAAAAAATTAGAGAAAACTACTGACGAATGCAAAACCTGATTTTTTTTTCTTTATCAATGGGTATAAGTTAATACACTGTAAATTAAGAGTTCATATTAATTGTGGTGGTTGTAAGTAGTCAGTCTCACCTGCTGGCTCCTTAATACTATGGAGAGCTCTGAAGTATTGTCTGGAGACTTTTTAGTGGATTCTTTATTTTAAGGAAATTGGTATTGGTATTAGAGGTCAGTACTTTATGTAGGTCAAGGGCACAACAAGTACTTGATACTAGAGATTCAGGGACTTGTTCACCTCCTCTAAGATGCAAGACACTGACATAAAACTAGGACTTTCATGTTTCTGGATCTGCATGATTTGTCTCAGTGTGACAGAAAGTAGTACATATGATGTGAACATATTTGGAGTGCTTTGGAAATACTGTTTTAGTGCTCAAAAGCAAATCAAAGAATAGATGTATCTCTAGAATTGTTGACAATAGTCATTGGCACAATATTTTCTTTGATAAATAAGCTTGCTGCAGATGTAGTTAAATGAGTACTTATGAGGAATAAATAATTCTGAGTTCTACTCAAGCTAGGTTTTGTTTTCTGTGCCTCTGAATGTTGGCTTTCTGTGGTGATAATGGTATAGACATCTGGTTTGTTTGGTGGAATGATATCATTAGATTCAGAATATGAAAATTTCTTAATGAGCAAGCCAGTGTAACTCCTGTTCTATTTTGAACTTAGCCCTTTGTTAGAAGTTATGTAGGTTTGGTTTTTTTAATTTTTTACTTAAATGAAAATTAAATTATCTGTGCTTTTGTTTAAAAGTCTTCTTTATTTTTGTCACAGAAACCAGTAGTAATAATTTCTGAAAAAAAAGATGAAGCTTCTTCTGTTTTCCATCCAACACCTCCTGCTGATGCTGCAGAGCTTAGAAAAGTCAGCAAAGCTTGCAAAGGCTTATTTAGAGCAACTTCTCTGAAAGATTTATTTTCTGCTAAGGTGGTTCCTCTGAATCAGAGTAAGAATGTTTTGATACATATTTGCTATAAAGATTACTGCATGATGGGTCTTAATATTGGTAATTACATGAATTATTAATACATTAAAGGACTTGTGTGTCCTTTCAGTATGAATTCTGGAAGTATTTAAATGGGTTTAAGGCAGTTTTGAAACTCTGGTTTCCCAAAATGATGCTGGCTTGCACTACTGAAAATGAGCTGAAAACTACTCAGGTGCCTCTTCTTTCTATAGGTTTCCAAGTAATGGAATTTTACTGAAAGTTGTCATCAGTAAAATTAACATTAAATGCTGTCATGCTTGAAGAGATAATGAGATGCCATCATCTAAGGAGATTCCCTGATGGATTCCCTGAGCCTAAAAGGAGGAATAAAAAGGAATGATATGTCTTGACAGGCCTCCAACTACATCGTATTTGTTGTTAAGAGTTTTATTAGTGGAGGTTTAATAAAGGTCACCAAATGTGGGATTTAAAAGTAATTTTCTTGAAGATGGGAAATGGCATCTTGGCTTCCTGCATGCTGGCTCATAATAAAGTGTGCTGGGACTGTCTTTATTTCAGAAGACTCATTTATAATGACAGCTCTTACACTGTCCGGGATTGTTACTTTACATTATAAACTGAAGATCTCATTTTTACTTACTAAACATTACTTCATTTTTATGTATTTATTCTATAAATATATCTTTATATAATGTGTCACTTCATATAGCCTTAATAAGCTGATGTTACTAATTGAAGAAGTTGAGAAGCTGGTGTATTTGTAACCTGCCTTGGTCTCTTCCCTTTTGGGATCATGCAAATGTTATGTGAGGGGTTTTATTTGTGGAGGTTCTTCTTGTATGTACATAGAAGCTACAGGATTAACAGCTACCTTTTTCCTGAGTTCCTTCATAATATTCAGGTCCTGAAATACAATCAATTTTTTTCACCAGGTACAATCCACCTATTTGTAAAAGGGAAATCATGGAGATGAAATATTAAAACTTTAAACACAACCCCAAAAGACTTTAAGAAATGCTGTTCATAAGAAGACACTGACTACCTTACTCTTAATAGTCTTAAACTTTCTCAGCTTTTAAATTGATACAAGCAAATTTTGATAATGTAACACGACAAGCAGTAATTAATAACACTTGAACAAAATGTGTTCTCTTTGACTGTTTCAGATGAAATGAAACCTGATTTTGAAGAGCCAACTATGATGATGAATAGTCTTGACAGAAGTAATAATAACTGCTTAACAGAACAAAAGTTGTACACATCATTTAATGATGAGAGTAGACAATTAATTTGTAATGAACATACCAGCAGATCAGGAAATGAAGACTCCATGGAAGGGACACCAGGAAACTTTTCACTTCAGCTGCAAGGAGAAAGGTCAGCATTGGTCAAGTATGGTAATGTGCATCTTTCATACAGCCCTCTTCCTGGTTACTCAATTGTGCAATATCAAAATGCTTAAAATTAATGGTATCTGAAGATAACATTACATGTGCTTCAAAATGAAACTGTGTTTAGATTATTAGAAAAATTTACATTTCTTCTTTTAGAAAGTTTCTACATTCAAAAGACTAATTTGTAAAATATTGGTGATAGAAATTTATTTGATGTGATTGTTTGATCATTAACATTTCAAAATCAAGTCTTCTAGTCACTGTGTGTAAAATCCTCAAGTTTAAATTTAATGTGCTTGCTTTTGTAGTTTAGTCCTGTTGTTTTAAGGTGCTATGCCATTCTTCACTTAGCTTGACAGATGAGTAGAGCCATGCTTTCAGTTCAGGTATGTGATCATACACCAAAACCAGGCTAAAACTCTTTAGCAATAGAAGCAGAATTTTTTTGTGACTTTTAATTTTTAGTTCTTTTTTTTTTTTTTTTTTTTTTTTTTTTTTATGACCAAGTAGAGGTGTTAGAGAGTAATGAGACTCACATGCCTGCAGTCTGTTTTTACTGGACCTGGAATATCATATCCATTCTTTAGTTCATAATCAACTAGTTTGTTTTTCTTTTGATTTAGATGTGAATTCTTGCACAGGGAGCAATAGCCCTGTGGCACTATGGGTAGTTGGTGTGTCAGTTGCTGCATTAGCAGTCAGATGAACAACTGTTTTGTGCTAATAACATTGACAGATCTGGCAGTCTCAGCAACAAAGAATGAAAAACACTTTATTTTCAAAACACATCCTTGTAAAACTTCTTCACTATTAAAAAGACATATTTGCCAGTAAGTATCTTCTTTTTAGCATGTTTGTATGCTTAGGGAAAAGCTATTTCCCTGGATATTCTTAAGCACCTTTGATATTAAAGACTATGTTCTTAATTTTATAAAATGAAAGGCCTTTCATTTACTAACTTGATGATAGCACTTAATAGTGTAAGAGAATGTTGTCCATTGAGGCTCTTACAGTAAATGATACATAACAGAGCTATCAAAAGACTCTTTTAAATTAAACTGTAAGCAGGATTTCAAAAAAAGACAGATTCTAAAAGAATGAAGATTTGTTGTAGCAAAGAAAAAACTCCATGAGTGTGGAGGAAGAATGAGAAAATAAGAGCAGAGATAAAAAAAGTAGGTGAAAAAAAAGGTTAAGCACCAAAGAGAATACTTTACTGCAATATAATTTTCTCTCTTTAAAATCAGTGATCTAATAACTTCTTAGATAAAGACTAGTTGGATTATCATACTACATAATTTACTGTAGTTTGAATTTTATTTAATAAAGGTGTGGCGTGAAGTACTTCAGTGTTGTAGTGGAGATGGATAGTTCCTTTTGTGGAATATGCATCCTGCTGTGTTCAGTTCTGCTTTCTGTTTGGGTTGCTGTTTTGGTTGATGGTGTCCAAATGCCTCTGACAGAAAGGGTCAGTTGATACTTTTGCTACTTCAAAAGAATCACCTTCTTTCTCAGTCATAATTTTACAGCTAACCCATTAGGCATGCTTCCTGTCTGTTCAAAATTGTACACTTCTCCTTCTAAGATCAAGAGCTCTGCAAATTTTTGTTTTTGCATTTTTGTTACTGATGCTTTTTGCAACCATGAGTCTCATACATCAGTTAAATTAGATCTCAAATTACTGCCCTGAACATAATACCAAAAATTGCTCTCGAATATTGTTCTGACTAGTTCTCTCCAAAATGGTAGAAAAATATAACATTCCTCCATCTTTCTGTGTTGGATGCAAGATGAGTATTTTTAAATAGTCCATTTTTACCTCTCCTGTGAGTCCTCTTCTGTGTACTCGAGTCAGAGCTGGTTTTTGCCAATGCTTAGGAAGCAAAGCTTCCTGACACCATTTAGGTGCTCATTAAGCTTAGAGCACCATGTATATCTGCAGTGCTGCAAGATGCACAAGAGTAATACAAAATGCTTTCCCTTTAGCCACAGACAAAGGTCCCTCATCTGTATCAGCCCAAGCAGTTCAGGCCACCATGTGATGGGATGGGTGTGGATAATCTCAGCTGCTCTCATATGTTGTATCTTCTTGCTAAGACCAAAGAGCACATTGGTCCAGTGTTTGTGTATGATACTCCACAAGTCAGGCAGACCTTGTTCTGTGTGCTTGGGTGAGTTCAGAGATGTCATTCTTCTTCTGACATGGCAGTTGAAAGGTACCACAAACCTCGCCTTCCATACAGTTTGTTGAGTTTTGTCTTCATGATAGTTGTATGTAAACCATAGAGGGGCCATTGCAGTGAGAGATTTGGCATTCTTTCTCAGTAGAACATGTTTACTAGATGATTGTAAGGTTAGATTGCATCTGGTTCTGTATAATAAATACTTGAGGTATCTTGTATAGGGTTACTAGATATTTTCTATTTAAAGTACATCGCATTCAGGCATAATAGGATGAAAGCTTAAAGGAATGTCAAATCTTTTATTATCTAGTGTCCTGTCATTTTCTACATGAAGCAGGTGTCAACCTCAATTCTGTACTGCAGTGACTTAAAACCCTTACAGGAATTAAGCAAGGGGATTGTAGATGTAGTATACTTCATACAGGGGGAGGCAGGGGACTTCCTACTCCCCTTTCCCTACAGTTCCTATACATGTACTGAAATAACTTTCCTAATTAAACCCTTTTTCTGCTAATGAGGAAACAGTAGAGCATGACAAAATAGCATGGCAGATTCCTGCCATTAGTGCTATTATATTTATTTTAAAGACAACAGAAGGGGGAGGTATTCTATTCCAACAAGAGACTTGATCACTTTCTGTCTCACATTCTTTTGTTGTTCCAAAGACTGAAGAAAAGAATGAACAGTGCTAATGAAATCACAACTGCCTTGTAAAGGTACTGGGGGAAAAAGAGAAGATGACCTTTTGAGGGAAAAAGCCATTTGCCATTTTGTTTGCAATTCTGTTTTGCAAATAACATTCTAGATGTAATAGAATAGGTATATTAATTGAAGCGGATTGAATTTATTGACATGTTGCCTCAGGAAAGCTAGGAACAATTTCTGGCAATCATAAGGAAGCTCAGTTTTGTTTACACCATCCTCTAACCATTGTGCCTTGCCATCTATTGTGATTGCTATAGAAGTGAAACTTCTAAAATGTTTTCTGCATTCATATATTTCAAGAGAAGTGTCAACAGTGATGGCAGATTTGCTGATGAAGAGCAACAGTTTCCCGGGTGTGAAAGAATGATGATTTTTTTTTTCCTACTCTAATTTCTCAATATTCTGAAAGCTTAGATGTCATTCCAGGACTTCTTCAAAGCAGAGGTGCCTTGAGTGAGGAAGAGTTTGGAGGCAAACAGTTCATTCCCAAGTGGCTTGTTCTTTTTTAATAAGTGAGTTTTATAAAGAGCTACAAAAGGATTAGCAGGTACTATAAAGAAGATATACTCTGCCCTGTTTTCTCTCACCATTGTTCTCTTTATTAAATGCCTGTTTTGCAGTATCCTTGAAATATATTCTTCTTCCATGAGAATAGTTTCTCTTGCTTGTGCTTTTTTAGAGTTTTGTAGTATTTCAATAGAAAATGATAAAAGCAAAAAATTAAATGATAAAGAATAGGGTGGGTTGGAGAGGACCACTGGAAATTACTTCTCTCTGGTTGCTTGAACTACCTTCACATCTGTGCTCAAAATATACATTCTTTTTCTCTTCAAAGAAAAGGATTCCCACAGAGGAGAGAGATTTTTTTCCTCAGGGGAACACCCATTCTGTTTTGTTCTGGATGATGTTTTTGAAATGAGTGATATGGTGTGGCTATTGGTTTGAAGTATGGTGTAGCTGACTCTCCAGACATTTTTCAGTATTTTTATTATTTTTTTTTAAATTATGTATATTGACAAGTTTTGGAATTCTCATAAAGACAGGGAAACAGGAAATTAACCTGCTCCCAACTAATCTTTATCTATTTCTGCCTCAGTTCCACTGGCTATTTGGATCACTGATTTTGAGTGGTGGGAAATCCTTCACAGGTGGAGCTTTCTACAGTGTTTTCCAGATTGTGACACCTACCCTTTCAAGAAGGTGCCTGGTTTGATATAGGGTTAAGGGATACTGAGAGAACACTGGGGAAGAAGAATTCTTTTTTTCAGAACTTGTTACGGACTTCTAAAGAAAAGGGTAAGAGGTAACTTTTATCTCTGGTCTCTTAGCTCACGAAGGAGACAGTGGCGTTTAGGCTCGTTTTTACCCTGTACTCTAAAGAGTCTTTCCACTCTAGCACTTAGTTTCAGGTCAATATAATTGGTCTCCAAATCTGGGAGATCTAGGTCTTGAAAGTCCTTAATACCAATTGAATTGCAATTCTGGAATGGGAAAGTGTGCCATGCAAAGGGTAGAGAAGAAATGTCAGTTCAGTCTAGGTAGACTTCTGGTAACAATGGATTTAAATTTATTTTCTGTTTAGAAATGCCATGTTTATTCAAGATTCAAGTTAGGAAGATGATGAGGGTGTGGTTTTCAGACTCAAATATATTTAGGCTAATGTTTTAGATATTTTTTATAGTTGGAATTAGACTGTCAGTTGTCTGGTTGCCTAAAGATACACTGCCACAAATAGATACTGTTAATATTTTCAATATTAGACAGAATATGCAAAGACTGTGAAGAATAAAAAGGATAAGGATAGAAGTTTTTCATCAACCTTGATTATTATTTTAAGTCATACTGTTTAACATGTGCATGAGGTTCTCCATCAACAGCCTGTGTAAATAAGAAATGCTGTATTTTCTTATCGCTGGAGTTGTCATAAAAAAATGAGTAAGCTATTCCCATGATTGTGTTTACAGGATTGTTATTTACTCATCTTTAGAATGACTCAGAGAGTTGGTCTATTTGTCAATATATTTTTACAAATTATGTTGTCTTTCTACTAGTTATATTTTCTCATATCAGTGGTATCAGTTATGCACTTGATTAT